CCTTCATTCACTACTATTCACCACGAAGCTGTGAGATATTCTAGAAATCTTGGTAGCCGAATTGCGCCCAGCACTTCATCCAGAAGGCAATTTCTCAAATCATTCCCTGTACAATCCCAAGAGATCTCCCGCGTTCCCTCATAATCCCTTCATATCCCTAGAGTCTGCAGGGCGAAAGCCCCTGTCTCACGATGAACCCTACCCCCCGAAATCTACAACACTGAACAGCCTCGCGAGTCTCGTTCCCGCGGCTCGTTGGCGGGCCTCTGCATCAGGCTCAGACACAAATCTCTGCATGCAACTCCCCCAACCTTTGGAAGGTACATGTCTCCTCAGCCGTGGAAGCCTAAACTCTTAAGTGAACCTTACGTAAACCAGTATCCAAAGTTTAGGCTGGGTTAGTACCATGCAAATTCGCTTCTGAATCACCTTTCAAGGCCTTGGGTTTGTGGCCAATTCAGTACCCCCCACTAACCGGATATCCAAAGAATCGTAATACATCTGAATCTGTCCTTTAGTCATGTGGTCTGTGGAGATTGGAAAGCCTTTCGTTCAAGATTTCCGGCCCTTCTAGTGTGGTTTGCTAGGGGTGTAGGCCCCAGAACCTTCAAGTGGAAATGATAAGGGTAATAGCTCAATAATGACCCTAACAAATGCCCAAATACCCGATCAGGAAACAAGCTAGTCCAAAGGTACCTCTCTGAAAACCGCTTTAGACCACCACGGGAACCTCTGACATAAAACCTGCGATAAACGCCCCAACAGTATTTATGGACACTATCCGTACGTTGGTCCGTTCATGTCCAATAGCTCCACTGGCTGTTAGTACTGAACGGAGGAAATCTTTGTGGCGGTCCGTATATACTGCCAATGTTGCAACTGTTTCCCTGCTCTGTCCATGCCCTACTACGAACCAGGACATAACTAAGCAGCTTGAGTGGCTACGGCAACCCAGTACTCATTTCCAGCTGAAGAATGCATCGTCATGCGCAACTCAGATTGAACAAGCTGTAAGGGGGCTCGTGACTCATGCTAGATGGAATTCCTCGAAGTTTATGCAAGGCAGCCTCTATGTATCCCCCAAGGGCCCCCAATTTCCTGAGAAATCCACACGTCATGTTAGCAGCGTGGGCCAGAAAGACTTTTTTAGGAGCAGGTTTCTAATCAGCCCGACCGTCACCACCTACATCTAGGAAGCTCCTCGGAGTGAGTTTGACATGCAGCTCAAGGCAGATGGGATGAGACATTTGTTTGACTCCTACATCCAAGCCCCCTGGTCGCTGACTAAGGCGAGCGCAAGCAGGAAAAAGACGTTCAAAGCCTCAAGGTCTTGAGCTGCGCGTCAGGCTTTGGTGGGAGCTTTGCTGTGTCAAAACAGGGGGATGTTCAACCCTATACGCCAAAGGCTAATCGCTCTCACTTACCATCCCCCTATTCACGCCGGTTCCTCAAGAATGATCAGTGCCAGCTCTTTCCTGCCATGAAAGCCGTGCTAACTCAAACCCTAATATACTATAGTAGTTTCCATTTTCTTTTCCATTATACTAATATAACCCAATATAACCCCAATATACCCCCAATATGTATATTCACTGAACCCCCAACACAGTGCTGCTTCTCTCACGGGATCACGTCTCCTCACAACTTGCCTCTGAACTGCATCTTCTACAGAAATCTCCCCGAGGCTGGCTGCGTGCTCAAGACTTGATGCATTTGCCACGTCCAGGAAGCACTACTTGATTCAAAGGCTTTGGGGTTTGGCCATGTATTTCAATCTACTTGCCTCTAGTTTGCAGGGAATGAAGAAATGGATAATACAATGGAAGCCAGCTTATTGGGGATTGTACAAGGGCTACTATAAGGTTCCATGCCTTCATTCCTTGACAGCCAGAAGTAAGACTTAAAACCCCCATAGAAACCTAGTTTCCATTTCATGTTCCATGCTCTTTCCCCATCTGATTTTCCATCATTGTGGGTTATATCCCTATATACCTTATATAACTCCCTATATATCCCTATAAAATCCCTATAATATATCCTTAATAGTATCCTTGAAACCTTTAGGGATCAATCTTCATGCTTCATTCCCAGGACTTGACGACCAGAGCTGAGGGCCACTGAGGATCTCAGTCAGGTTGGCCAGCGGCCCAACCCAGCCCGCCCGAGGGTAATGTAGGGGCCTAGAACAATTAGAATTTGGTTTCGGGGGTTTAGGGTTTAGGGTGGGGGTATGTTCCCAAGATACTACAGTACTACTTGCAACAGAAATCTTCATCGGTCCCAGCCGCAACCTGGAAATCTGCAGCCTTTAGATGCCCCAAGCCCCACCCAACTTCCCGGACCTAGGGTTTAAGGCTTAGGGTTTAGAACCGACTCTCCACCCCCCAAGACCCACCAGCCCCCCGGCCGCACGACTTTGTGTCCTGACCGCTACTTGGTGCCGGAATGCAAGCCAGGCTAAGGCGGCCGCTGGCATCGATTGCTTCCCAGCAATGAAGTGACCCAATGGACTTCGAGGAAAAAGCAGGGGAGATTATTTTTTCAGAGGCTCCCATGTTGCGTCTGGGCAAATCGAGGAAGCCTGGGCCTCGTCACGAGATAGGGGCCGTCTCCTGTGCAACCCTTGAAACCTGGCATCCCCTACACAAATCCAGCACACCTTTCTCGCATAAGCCGAAGATGTGAGTGGGCCTTCTGCATGGCTACCATCCAGGACAGCTACTTAGCCTGCCAACGGGACATTCAGGCTACACACCAAGATCCTAAGAAAGCTAGATTTTGGATGAGGATGGAGACATAAATCGCTTCTGGTTATACAACGATATATAATACGGAATGCATAGGAACCCATTGGAAGCGTGACCGGTTTTGAGGTTGGGTCTAGGCCCTTACCACCCGAGGGGTGACCACCCGAAGGGTGGCTTGGGATAGTTGAGCCCAAAGAACTACACTCTTCTGCACAATGCTACGAGCAAAGAGAAGCAAGATCTTGCTCTTACTGGGGATTGTAGTAACTGTCGTCTCGTAACTTGGCTTTCTCACACGCCTGTCCTGAATTCCACAAAGTCGCTAAGTGAGGTTCTGGCTGTCCAAACTCCTACACCTCAGATATCTGAAGCCCCTTGCTTCCAAGTTCCTAAGTCCTGGAACCCCACATCCCAGGCCTTTAACCCAAACTCCGGCAGCGCACTCCTTCTACACAAACCTGTCGCTGGTTAGCAAGGAATGGAGGAATGCCTTCCCTGTGGCAACCTCCGTACCATCCCTTATCAAAGTCCCTATGTTATATCCCGTTCCTTCAATTCCCTCGAAGGAGCAATCTCCATAGTAGTTTCCATTTTCTTTTCAACTCCTTCATTCACTAGTAAACAGGAAGCAAACCCCTCAGCTCCAAGCTTTAAACTTTAATCTGAGACCCCTGCAGCGGCTGCAGCGAGGGGCCATGCTCATACGGGCCTGGTGCTCTGTGATTGTGCTTTCTACCGAGGTACAGTCGCTCAGGATTGACTGGAGTTTGTTCAAGAGCCTGAGGGGAGGCTCTAAGTTTTGCATCTTTCCCCCCTAAGAGAACAGCAGAGGTTGTTCCGCGGCCTTATGGTAGCTTCACCAGTCAATGAAACCCAACAAAAATCAGGTCCCCCGGATGCATGCTTGTGGTGTTCATGAGAAGAACCTACACGAAAACTTAAGAACCAGGACTTTATTAATAGCGGAACCTGACTGAAGTGTTTCAGGATTTCAGACCGCAAGGCCCCGGTTCTTGTTCTCTTTGAAGTCTAGGATGCTTCACTTCTTCGCTGAACTATTTGGCAGGAAAAGGCTTTACTTTAAAATACGATGATGACAATAATACCTGAAAATGGACACGCAAAAATGCGCGCCCAGTCCGGCACAGGCGATTGCTGCGATAAGCCCGTGGGAACCTTAATCGTCAGCTCTGAGAAACGTATGCCAGCGTCAAGCCTTCCAACAAATAATGGGAGCTTCTCCAATATCCTGTCCTAAACCCCTGCTTTCAGAAGCTCTCATCCTTCAGCCCAAGTCCCTTGACACCTAAATCTCAACTTTAACCCTGATCACTGTCTGGGGACCCCTGTGAGCTGAAGTGCTTTGTGACACTGGACATTGTACATTCATTTTCAGATCTGTGTGGGTACGGCCCACTGAAACCTAGCCGCTGTGAAGCCCCCCTCCAACCTTCAGCCCTTTATCCATGCAAGCACCCACCATGCTAACGTCCACTCCACTCGGAGACTGAACTTTGCTACTGCTGAGGTGCAACCCAATAAATTGGAACCAACTGACGGCAGTCCACCTTCCAGTGCGTAGAAGCACTGCCCGAGTTGAACCAGAGACGCACCACGGTCAGCTTCATGTTCCCCCCCTAGAGCATTACCCAAATAATGGAAAATCAAATGGAAAATCAATTGGAGAATGAAATGGAAACTGGGATTATAAGGTAGTTTAGAGGCTTTGGGTCTGAAAATGAAATGGAAGCCCTAAGTCCCTTTTAGGGTTTAGGGTTTAGGGTTCATGGCAAATGGGGCCCATGTGTTGTGGAACCTATGGCCCAGGATAATGCTGGGCGTCCGTACTCGTCCGCAACCAAGGGAAAAAGGCATAGTTTCTTTGGTTCTTAAATGTCCCATTACATCCCTTATCATAATCCTTCACCTCTAAATTCCCTGAATCCACCCCATCATACTTTCAGCTGTTATTAGGAGGCTTGTAGATAGCAGAAATTAAGCGTGCTTTCCAGGGAACTTCCAGTCATTACCTACCAACCACAAAAGCATTGGAACTGCATAGGAAGTTGCACTCAAGTATCTGTGCATACCTATATCTATATCTATGTATATGGACTGATTTTGTTGCAAGTAGCCAAGTGAGATTTGCAGCGCTGGCTGGACAGGATGTGAAAGTCTTACTTTTTCCTGTGGACGCCGCAGCGCATCAGTTCCGTGCAGCCGCTCCAAAGCTGGCAAAACAGACGTGCGCCTTCAAATGAAGCGTAATGTGGCCATCACTTCTGCCGGAGCCTGCGGAAAGCAGCTGGATGCAGCATAAGACAGCTTGAGCATTCAGGGCATGATCCATTCCAAGGCGCTACGCCGTCACTTGCAGCAGACAACTTCCTGAAGGTTTAGCCTCAAAACCCTGAACCCTGCAAACTCTGAAACCCCCAAGCCTAAACCTGCAGGACCAGCCTCTCTAAAGGAGCCGTCTAAAGGTGGCCAATCACTCAAGCCTGGGCCAGCATGAGGGATATGTGGGGATTGTGGTATCCATATTTGGGAGTACGGAAGGATTATTTTAAGAAAGCTAGCACATGGGCTTACGAGGGTTTATGGGGACCAGATGGTGTTCAAAATTTATGGTTTAGGGTTCAGGAAGGCACACAAAATCGGAGTCCTTGCTTTGAAAATCCTCCTATCAAGGGCTATACAGATATTTGGGAAGATATGGAAACAGCCATGGGCTGTCTGCAATTAGGGTTAAGGCCTCGGGCTTATTGCCAAGGGCTCCTGAGTCTCGGGTTACGGGCTTGTGGGTCTTGACGGTCTTGACAGTAGGAAAAAAGGTCGCAGAGAGAGTCGGGCCAAGAATACACGAGTGCAGCTGCAAAGGAGCTTTGCGGGGCAAGAGATCTGGAGAAAAAGGTTCAGGATCTGGGTCTAGGCTCTAGGATTTAGGATCTAGGGTTCGGGTTCAGATAAAAGGGTTGGGAGGGAAGGGCTCCTGCTGGTGGCTGCACAAGCATCCTGTTGGTGGCTGTACAAGCACCAGAAAAGAAGCATCGCTAACATAAGCTCACAGCCGCTCCATTTTGCTGACAGGTTTAAGTGAGCACGCTGAGGACTGGAAGCAGCAAGCATAAGCTAACCCCGC